GCCGCCGAGCTCGGCGCCAGGCACGTCACGTTCTCGCCCAGCAGCGCGTTGCACGTCGCCTTCTCGCGCCCCCTCTGGCGCGACAAGCCGCAGAGACCACGTGCCGACGCCGACGATGACGACGACGAGGCCGTCGTCACGTTCCCGGATGTACGCGGCGCGCACAGCTTCCCATGGCGCCGGATGCCAATCACGTACCGGCTCCACAAGGTCGGCGACGAGCCATGTGAGATGATCCGTCAAATCTATCTCTGGAGCCTGCTGGACACCGAGTGCGTCGTCCTCAACTCCTTCGCGGCTCTCGAGCCCACCTACCTGGACGACTGCCGTTCGGCGCCTTTGGTCCCGCGGGTAGCCGTAGGCCACTAGGCCCACTGTCCGAGGCCCGGGCCACCACATCCGGCAACCGGGGCGGGAAGCCTGCGGTGGGGCCGTCAGAGGCGGCCGCCTGGCTGGACGCCTTCGCCGACGGATCCGTCGTCTACGTCAGCTTCGGGACGCAGCACGCGCTGTCGCCGGAGCAGGCGGCGTGCGTGGCGGACGCGCTGGCTCAGAGCTCGGCGGCCATCGTGTCGTGTGGGCCGCGGGGACGCTCACCGTGTTGCCGGAGGGGTTCGAGGCGGCCACGGCTTCGCGGGGCATGGTCATCTGTGGGTGGAGGCCGCAGGTGGAGATCCTGCGCCACCGCGCCGTGGGCTGGTTCCTGATGCACTGCGGCATGAACGCCGTGCTCGAGGCCGACTCCGCCGGCGTGGCCATGCTCACCTGGTCTATGGGCGCCGACCATTTCTTCAACAAGATCGTGGTCGAGGAGGCCGGCGTGGCCATGCACGTGGCGGAGGGCGCCGATACCGTACCTGATGCTGGGCGGATGGCGGAGGCCATCGCCGCGGCCGTCGGGGACGAGGGAACGGCCATTAGGGAGCGCGGCGTGGAGCTCGGCCGCAAGGCCGCAGCAGCTGTGGCAGAGGGTGGGAGCTCGTACATGGATTTTCAAGAGCTGGTTCACATGCTGGCAAAGGTCGACTAGTGGTTGGGTTCATAGCAGCCAAGTTCTCGAAACATTGGGGTCGTTGTAGGGAAACGCGGTACGTGGTTTCTTAAGTCCATGAGACGAAGAGGTATATAGTTGGATCTTCTTCCTTCGATTAATGGAACGCGTACCAAGTGTAATGGGAATTTGTTATCAGAACGACAAACATGATCCTAATAATTAAAATTGTTGATATCATGAATGAATTAATTAGCACATGTGTTCACTAAATGTAAAACTAGGAAAGTTCTAATAAAATAATAAAGATAAAATAGATAGTTGAACTCATCGTTCGGCCTCTCCTCTTTTTTCCTTCCATCAATTGAATTTGGGCCTCAGATTTCCGTCAAGTGGCCAAGCATGGTTCCGTGGTGTGGATCACCTTCGATCAGTGTTCAAAACGATGTTCCATCATATTCCCATTCCACGAACTAGAACAGAACGTGCAACGTGCTCACGTTTCCGTTCCTAGGCCGCTGAGGTCGGGGTTACCTTTTGTTTGGGTTTATCAGGGGGTTTTGTCTTAAAATTCGAATTTGAGTTGTAGTTAGACTTGAATATAAGAAATTTCAGCAGATAGAATTGGAAATTCGAAAAGAACAAAAGAAAAAGGAAGTACGCGTGCGGAGGTAGGCTTGTGTTTTCGGTGAACTGTCGCTGCTTGTGTGGTCATGACCATCGGTGGCCATGATGGGCCAACAGGGAGAACCATTTATGGGAGAAGATAATATGCTAGGAAAATAATAAAATAGATACTCACTCTGTCCTAAAAAGACTGTCGCTCTGGGCATGGGCCGTAGTAGGACCTCCTAGCACAATCTTGCGAGATGTTGCTCGTTGCGTGGCCTGTCGCCTGCATCTAGGCGCTGCAGCTACCGTCCCTACCGGTGGCCTCGGCGACCCTGATTCGCCTGCGCTGCGGAGGCGGTGTTGGAGTTGGACAGCGGCGGCGTGGCAGTGGGCGGCACCGATGGCAGGGTTGGTGCGCAGCGGGGAGGTGGTTGGCGACGGCATCAAGACATGGGCCCTGTTCGGCAGGACTTATTGCTGTTGCGGCTAATTTATAGAGCTGATTTGTTGTGAGAGAAAAATACTATACCATAGCTTAAAAAAATAAAGCTAATTCTATCTGATAAGCTCAAACGAAGAGGGCCGTGAGTTCCAAGAGCTGACGACGTCGAGCGGTTCACCACAGGCGCTCGCGTTCTTCGTCTCTGACATCAAACGCGGACCAGCACCGCCTCAGCAGGCACCCCACCATACGCGCCGACACATTCGTTGGGCCATGGATTCTGGATGGATGGAGAGAGGACGAGAGCAGGTTCGCTGGGAACGTGGGGCTCGTGAGGGAATGCTCTGGAAAATGAAACTTGAATATAATAAATAAATTTCAGCAAATACCCGTGTGCTCTGGTGTGGGGTGGGGTGTGTGTTTTTGGTAACCAGAGTGTTACCATGCTTGTCGTTGTTCGAAAAACTTCTGTTCTGCTTAATGAAATACGCGCTTTGGCGTGCTCTAAAAAAAAAGAACTGGAAATTTAAAAAGAACAAAACGAAAAGGAAGGACACCCGTGGGCTACCTGGCCAATCAAGGCCCAAGAAGCCGGGCAGCCAACCCAAGGCCTTCCCTTATCCCGTTGCATGAGGGGTTGATGAGGCCCATGTTATCTCGCTGACAAAGAGTAATTTGGTCACCGCAAAAGCGCACATGCGAATGGGACCACCGAAGATAGCACACGGGAAGTAGAGCGAACGTAAATAAACACATGCTGATGTGCCAAAGTGTGTTCGTATGGGTTGCTCTCCAGAGAAGCACAAAAATGTTGCACTTCCAAATTCGGGTGGCCGTGGATTTAGGAAAAACTCAGTAGTGCTTGTTGGTACCCAATGTGCTAGTAGAACTGTGTTATTAGCACATGCCTCCATTGCGTCTTGTGCGATCAAGGCTGCGAGACATCGGATCATCTTCTCACCTCGTGCGTGTTCGCCAGGCAGATGCAACCATGGTGGACTGGTGGCTGCGCTCCAGAAAGCTGGTACCTAAGCCTGCTAGGAAGGAGTTCGACTCGGTAGTGCTGCTCACGTCTTGGAAGGAGCGAAACCGTCGAACTTTTGACAGGATCTCCAGAACACCGCAGGAGCTACTCCGCCTAATCGTCGACGAAGCGCACAGCTGGGTAAGCGCAGGTTTTACCAGCTTGTCGTCCGTGATCGGCGCTGCACATCGCTAGCATCGCGTTATAACCGCTGCTCCAGTCGCTCAATTGGTCTCTTAGTTAGTTACAACCAAGTGTATTCCACCATCTGGCGTGGTGTCTTGTGTCTGTGTTTACCCAATCACCAATGGCAACTCACCATGAAGTGATTTTGGACGTGTACTTATTTTCCAACTCCTCTTAATAAAATACGTGCTAAGCATACTCTCAAAAAAAAATCAGTTCTCGATGCCTGCAGCTATCAAGATGCTAGGAACCTGTAAAGCAGTATTTGATGTTGAATTTTTTTGGAAGGATAGATTACCTCTAATCACTCCTGGCCGTTGCTGCTCTTCGTGGTCCGCGTTAATCTATCATTATGTTGCATCGGTTTAATCGAATCCATTCACATGGCAGCATTGTGAATTCGGGTGTTACTCCATCTGTCATGACTCAGAACAGGAGTTTTTGTATACTCCTACTCAATATTCAAGACCCAATCGTACCTTGATTTCAGCATGACACAGACACACAGTCAACGCAACCTTTTAGTAATGGGTGTGCATGTATGTGCATTATCGAGCGGACCACTGTAAACAATGATGGATCAAGATCTCAATCGACTCCCTTATTTCTTTTTTTTGGAAACTGAGTCGCACCTGAAGTTCCAAGCAAATGATGCCAAGCGTTCCAACTGACTCAGCCATATGCATTCACACAAGGCACACGAGGCAGCCTCACTCCAAGCATCTCACCATGCTGATCTGCAATCCCAGCTTCTGGATCGGCATTATTTTTATACATTAATAAAGAACCACACACAGCATGGAGCTTCCGAGTGTCAATTCTTTGAGCTTGCTAGCTAACTGCTTTGTTAGGGACATAGTGAAAACATGCCATCCATGGCTTATACAACACATTACACCCATGGATATACTGATCCAGGGCTCTAAAGCTTGGGTTGGGGCGATTATGGAAACCGCCGTTGCAAATAAAACCTAATCGTTTCTAAGGTGGTGTTTGGATGGGCCTCCTAAATTTTAGTCGCTGTCCTATCGAATGTTTGGACACATGCATAGAGTATTAAATATAGACTAATCGTTTCTAAGGTGGTGTTTGGATGAGCCTCCTAAATTTTAGTCGCTGTCCTATCGAATGTTTGGACACATGCATAGAGTATTAAATATAGACTTACACCCATGGATATACTGATCCAGGGCTCTAAAGCTTGGGTTGGGGCGATTATGGAAACCGCCGTTGCAAATAAAACCTAATCGTTTCTAAGGTGGTGTTTGGATGGGCCTCCTAAATTTTAGTCGCTGTCCTATCGAATGTTTGGACACATGCATAGAGTATTAAATATAGACTAATCGTTTCTAAGGTGGTGTTTGGATGGGCCTCCTAAATTTTAGTCGCTGTCCTATCGAATGTTTGGACACATGCATAGAGTATTAAATATAGACTAATTACGAAACTAATTGTATAGTTTGCGACTAATTTGCGAGACGAATCTTTTAAGCCTAATTAGTCCATGATTTGATAATGTGGTGCTACAGTAAACATGTGCTAATGACGGATTAATTAGGCTTAAAAAATTCGTCTCGTGGAGTACTGACGGATTATGAAATTTGTTTTTTTATTAGTATCCGAACACCCCATGCAACATCCTCGTGACACACCTCCTAAATCTTAGTCACCGGATCCAAACACCACGTAAATGTACTTTGTATACTAGTGCTAGTAACCAGCATGTGCTCTGACAGGTTCCTCCATCACTTGCCCGGCACTGTCTCGCGACTCTGTTCATTTTGGAGGTAGAAGAATTCCACTGGCGGCAAATCAAGGCCTCCTTTATTAGAGCCACATTTTGGTAAATCGTCAGGAGGTGGAGGAAGAGAGGTGTCCACTGTTGATCCATCCTCTACAATGAAAACGGCTACCATGCCCATGGACAGATGGAAATCAAAGTGGCAATGGATGTACCATGTTCCTGTACACAAGAAACAAAAATTTGGTATCATAAACATTAATACTTTTTTGTATAAATTTAGTTAAACTTAAAATGGTTAGACTTAGGAGTTAGCACAAACGTAAATCATCACTTATATTGCGACGGGGGGAGCGGTGTCAATAAAAGAACACCAATCCAAATCTTGGAGCAAAACTTTGGTATTTTTTAGACACTTGCAGCGCAGGAGATTGTAAATAAAGCAGGCATGCATCGGCCGACATTGCAAGTTTGCATATATGCCGGACATGTAAATAAATAGATTGTGTAGGCATTCACCTGGATTATCGGCGACAAATCGAACGGCGACCCAGCCGAGCCTCGGGACGACGACGGTGTTCTTGAGCGGCGGATCCACCAGGTTGTAGCTGGCCACGTCCCTCGCCGCGTCGTAGTTGCCCAAGCCGTGCGCGAGCACGAACATGTCGTGGCCGTGCAGGTGCATCGGGTTGGAGTCGCTCTGCATCACCGCCGTGTCCTGGAACACGACCTCCACCACCGCGCCGTGCCGGAACCGCCGCACCATTGTCTGTTTCTCCGTCGGCTCCAGCGGCGCCTCTTTCGGCCCGTACGGGATGTAGGCCGGGTCGGTGAAGTTGAACACCCTCCGCGGCGTGTCCGGGAGCGCGCGGAGCTCCACGCCGGCGGCGGCCGCCATGTCGTCACGGCGGTAGTAGTGCGCCTCCAGCAGCGACACCACCGCGGCCGTGGGCGCCCTGAACGAGACGTCGTTCATTGTGCCCACGATGATGGACTCGTCGCTGTCGCTCCTCGCGCACGACTGCCCGCCGTCGCGGCAGACCGAGCCCAGGCTGAGCGTGACCAGCATGTGCTCGTCGGCGCGCGCCGGCACCCGGTGACGGCGAAGGCTGGAGAGGTTGCCGTGGAAGTAGAAGCTGCCGGTGGTGTCGTGCTGGTTAGGCATGTCCGGCATCATCACCGGAGCTGGAACGTCGTCGACGTTGGTGGTGTACTGCACTATCCCGCGCGTGATGGTGAGTGGCACCTGGACGTCGGGCTCGGGTGCCTGTATGGCCAGGGCGGCGATGTAGTACCGGCCCGGCGGCGCGTCGGCGGCCACCAGCACGTCCATCGTCTCGCCGGGCGCGATGGCGACGACGGCCGTGGCGTAGGGTTTGACGTAGTTGGCGTCGGAGGCGACCACCGTCATGGTATGGCCGGCGATCTTGAGGTAGTACTCGGAGAAGAGGGCGGCGTTCATCAGCCGGAGCAGGTACGTCTTGCCGGACTCCACTTCCAGTACGAAGCCATCTTCCTGTTCCACGGCACCTTCAGAGGCAGAGGCCGCAGAGCAGTTGTAGAGGTCTCCAAGCTTGCCGTTGATCGTGCTTCCAGTTGGGACGTCGACAAGGACACCGTTCACCGTGTTCCTGTCCAACTGTGCAAGGTCCATATCCCACCATTCCCCTGCAGTTGTCATTCAGATTTCAGACGTTGCATTAGTTCACAAAAACAACATAGGTTCAGAGAAGAACCTTGTTCCAAATTAAACAATGCACACATCTTCTAGCTAAGCTATTATGCAACCAGCAACCATGCTTGCAATTCATGTACCTATAACAATGGGGATCTCCTTGTCAGGCTTAGGGAAGGGATACGAGGCGGCGCCATGTCTGGGCCGGATGATGAGAGCCCCGTGCAGGGTTGAGCGCAGGCAGGGGACGTGAGCGTGCCACCACAAGGTGCCTTCCTGTCCGGCGACGTTGAACCGGTAGGTGAAGTTGCGGCTTGGCATGATGGGGCACTGGGTGATCATGGGCACCCCGTCCGCCCAGCAATTGAGCCGCTGCTTCACTCCATGCCTGCAATGGAACAGGAACCAAATTCAGAGACAAAATGGTATCTACGGTTGAAAGCAAACTGGTGTTGGATAATCCAGCTCTGTTTCTACATTTGGAAGAAACACGTACAGGAGGGCAATTGATTTTGTTGTTTGATTTGAAGCGTGATTGGTAGGAATACATTAGGATGGAGATGGATGGATGTCTTGCTTGGGATCGGACGGAAGAAAAAGGCCATTACCAGTGGATGGTCATGTTGTAGGGCGACCTGTTCACGACATGGACGACCACGGAGTCTCCCTCGGTGACCTCGATCGCCGGCCCCGGGAGCTGCCCGTTCACCAGGGTCACCAGCGTCTCCTTGCACAAGCGCGTCACATTCACCTGGCTCACCTGTGCATACATAATTTTTTGAATGTTCTAACACAAATCACGCATGAATGAAAAATATATATACGACTTTCTTTGGCTTGTTCAGATTCACTTACAACGAAGGTGTGCTCGACGACGGCTGCCATGCCCGTCGGTAGAGCCGCCATGCCGGAGAGGAGGACGAAGACGACGGCGGCTGCGGCGGGGGCGACGACCGTTGCTTTCGCCGCAGCAGGGAGTCGTCCCACACAGACCTTCATAGTTTTGCAACTGTATGTGTCCGGTTTGCTTTGCTTTGCGGTGTCCTTGTACTCTTGTAGTAGTAGGCTACCACTACTAGTATGTCTTCACCATTAGCTAGTATTTTAGCAGGTAGGAAGGAGTGTTTTGGACTGCTAAACACCGTCATTATTCCTCGCAGTAGGCCGTTGACGCCGACCACGAGAGCGCCATTAATTGTGTGTCACTGTCACCGTACCAACCCGGAATCCTATCATCTTTCTTAGGGCGTGTTGTTTTCTCTGCTCCTGGACGCTAAAACAGGAACTATGGTTCATAGCCAAGGCACTACTACATTTTAGTCCATAGTCCCAGTTTTAGTCCCTAGTTGTACATAAATAATTTTTAGAGGCACCTTCCTTTTCTAAGAGCCGCGGTTGTCTTAGCACGCCACCACTAACCTTCGCGAGAGGCACTGTAGCTATACAACCGTTGCTAGAAATTAATTTTTAGAAATGGTTCCATTAAGAAATCCGCAACTAAAAATATATCCATTTTTAGGGGCGGTTCTGTTAAGAGAACCACCTTTGAAAATACTATTTTCAAGGAGGGTTTTCTTATGTCAACCGCCTCTGAAAATAGGCCGCCTCTGAATCCTTAAAAATAGCTGCAACACAAATAAATTCATATATTTTTTAAATGAAGTCGGATGGAGACAAACTTTGTATCAAAATTGTAGAGCTCGACGAGATCTAAAACTTTCTAGTTGATAAATTTTTTGTTTGAGATCATTTAGGGTTCCAAATATATAAATTAAATCTCAGATTTTGAATTTCAAATTTTTAAAAATTTCAAATGACCTTGGATGGAGAAATATTCTATGTCAAAGTTGTAGTGCTCGCCGAGATCTAAAACTTTGTAGTTGAAAGTTTTCTCATTTAAGATAGTTTATGAGTTAAAATATTGATTACAAAATTCGTGCGTATTAGTACAAATAGATAGCATCGTAGAACTAGACGTAAGTGACTGTGTGGTGCGGTGGTATGGGAGGGATCGCGCGAGGAAGAGGTTGTGGGTTCGTGTTGGCACTTATTCAAAACAAGTGAAAAATAAATCTTGTGAGCCGTGGCCAGTCCTCAGCCCTTCAGGCTACATTAGAAATATTTTTTTCTTATTTTTATTAGACTCTAAATGATTTTTAAAAAAATTGAAAATTATTTTTAGGGAGGGCGCCTCTGAGAACCTGTCTCTGAAAATCATTTTTTTTAGACGATTTTAAAACCGTTTCTGGAAATCACTTATTTTTACAATCACGGGCATGGTAGCGGTTTTAAAACCGCCTCTGAAGATCACTTTTGACCATCTCTAAAGATATTTTCTGTACCAGTGGTGTTTGGTTTAAATGAACTAATTAAAACTAAAATTTTCCAACTCCCTTATAAAAGAACACGCCCTTATTTCACCGGCCATGTTCCTTCTTTTTTCTTTCGGTACCTAGCTTGACTGTCTCGATCGTTGCATCTGATAATCACAGTTAGTTATATCATTATCAGCTAAGTAATCTTGTTAGATCTGATCAGTACAACACCAGCACATGGGATGCACATGACAAAGGAGCATCCGTAGCGTGCAGGCATCGCAATCGATGTCCAGATTTCCAGGACAACACGTCGTCGTAGGTGCAATTAATGCTTGGATTTGACATTGCTCGCTAGTACACTAAGGGGGTGTTTGGTTCTTTAGGCGCTCCTAAAATTTATGTCACATCAAATATTTATATGCTAATAAAGAGTATTAAATATAAATTAATTACAAAATAAATTACATAGATGGAGGCTAATTTCCGAGACGAATTTTCTAAGCCTAATTAATCTATCATTAGCACATGTTTACTGTAGCACCACATTGTCAAATCATGGACTAACACTATGGGATTCAGGCGCTTTGCCGGGTGCCGAATGCACCCGGCAAATGCTACTTTGCACTTGGCAAAGAGCCTCCGGCAAAAAGTTAGTCGGCAAAGATTTCTTTACCGGGTGCTTTTTATCAGGCACCCGGCAAAGACTTTGCCGAGTGCAAACCCGGCACCCGGCAAAGAAAAGTGGTCGTTACGGCGCCGGCTCCGTCATCCCTTGCTTTGCCGGGTGCCATATCGAGGCACCGGCAAAGATTTTTTAATTTTTTTTCAAATTTTCTTTTATCGGGTGTGCGTGTGGAGGCACCCGGCAAAGATGTTTTTATTTTTTTTTATAATTTCTTTGTCGGGTGTCTTACCGAGGGGGCACCTGGCAAAGAGTTTTTTTTATTTTTTTTTCGTAATTTCTTTGCCGGGTGCTAGGTCATGGGGCACCCGGCAAAGATTTTTTGAAAAACTTTTTGAAAGTGCCTGGACGGCACTTTCGGCAAAGCTGGAAATTCCTTCAGAATTCCCAGCTTTGCCGAAAGTGCCGAGGTTGTGGCACCCGGCTAAAGCCTCAAAAATTATTTTTTTTATTTTGTTTTTGATTCTATAATCACAAAAACACAGCATATAAAAGATATATATCACATCTGAAGCATCACAAAGACAATATAGCACATATATATCACATTCATCTCATCACAAACTCAATCCCACACATATATATCACATCGCGAATACAATACCTCACATACACGACATCACAAACATAATAGGTCCAATTACCATCGTAACAAGTCGATAGTGGATCACGATTGCATCACATGTCCATCAAGCGGTGAAAAAGAGATACAAACTAAAGGTGGGGAGGGCGAGTGCACTGGTGAAGGAAACTCGGCACACACCTTGCCTGAGATGGGTCATTCGAACCACTTGACGGAGGCTACATAAAGGACAAGAGATCCAGCGCTTAGAGTGGGTCATCTAATGAAAGCACTAGTCGAAGCAATATGGATTCATACTCTTTGGACTAGCTACTGGCTGGCGGCGGCGCTGGAGCGAACATCGGCACAGGTACACCGTTCACTTGCCCAAAGTTCTGCAGGAACATCGTAATCTCCGCCAGCTGCTTGGCCTGTCTCTCCCGCTCGGCCCGCTCGGCTTGTCTTTCCCGCTGCTTGGCCTATCGGAATGGATGGTTGGAATCTAGGAATTGACGATGTTGATCGAACGACGAATACTTACCACCCTTCTTCAACCAAATGAACCTCACAGCTTCCTGGCATATTGGGCACGGGAACTTCCCGTGAACACACCAGGCGCTGAATAACCCATACGCCAGGAAGTCATGCATGGAGTACCGGTACCAGACGTACATTTTGAAGCTTTCCTTTGTAGCTCAGTCGTATGTCCATACCCCTTCATTCCAAGCTTTGATCAACTCATCAATCACAGGCTCCATGAACACACCCATCTTACTCCCTGGGTGCCTGGGAATTATCAACGTCAAGATCACGTTATGTCGTTGAAAGGCGACGCCAGGGGGGAGATTGAGGGGGATAACAAACACGGGCCAACATGTGTAAGGGGCAGACATCATGCCATAAGGATTGAACCCATCTGTTGCCAGCGCGACACGTACATTACGAGCCTCATCGAATTTCAGACGATGCTTGTCATTAAAGCTGGTCCATGCTTCACCATCAGATGGATGCACCATCTTGTCAGGATGGTAGCGTTTGCCATTCTTGTGCCACGTCATCTGTTTCGCGGTTTCCTCGGTCATGAATAGCCTTTGAATCCTCGGCACGAAGGGAAGGTGACGTAGGACTCGGGCGGGTATCTTAAGCTGGGTCTTCTGGCCACCACCATCACCAGACTCTACCTCTAGGAACCTGGAGGCTTTACACTTCGGACAGTACTTTGCCTCCTTGAGTTCTTCCCGAAATAGGACACACCCGTTCGGACAAGCATGTATCTGCTCATATGGCATCTTCAATGCTTTAAGGAGCTTGTGTGCCTCGTACATGGTCTTCGGCAACACGTGGTTTTTTGGAAGCAGGGTGCCAACCACGGTCAACACCTTATCGAAGCCTTCTCGACTCCAGTTTAAATCGGACTTCAACCCCATCAAGCGACTTATGGCATCCAGCTGGGAGACCTCAGAATGAGCGTGAAGGGGTTTCTGTGCCGAGTCCATCATGTACTTGAACGCATCTACGGCTGCCTGCATCTCCGCCTCCTCACGTCCTTCAGCAAACTGTGCTTGGTGAACGTCATCTACCATGTCTGCTACCCCGGCATCAGCATCGAAAGCCTCGACGCGTTGTCTCACCACCTCCTCTCTCATACGATCGGCTTCACCATGGTGGACCCACCGGGTGTAGTTCGGCGTAAACCCATTCCTGTGCAGATGTGTACCCATGAGTTCCTTGTCTAGCATTCTCCTGTTACCACACTTGCTGCAGGGACACAAAGCCATTTTCGGGAATTTTGCGGCCTTGCCAAATGCACGATTCAAGAAACGATCGGTCTTCTGCATCCATTCATAGCTGGCATCACCCTGACTTGTCCGGCCCGTGTACATCCACTGACGGTCCTCTATCCTCTAGCATATATAACATCACCACAGGTGACCATCAATTGCATCTACGCGGTGTCCCTACTCTCTAATAGGTGAGGATAGGTCCTAATCCCACCCGCGGGTTCGTAGATGAGGTTAGTTTCCATGCTCCGCTCCTATCCGAGATGGAATTTCGGCAGCACCTCCCCGCCATTCTCCCGATACACGTCCTGCAAGGGAGAGTGTGTATCCGGAGAACAACGGAGAGGTGATGCCGAAACACCGTCTCGAACCGGAGCGGAGCATGAAAACTAACCTCAACTACGCATCCGCGGGCTGTCCAAAAAGCGTGGACAATCCGAAATAGATACGGTCGCTGATATGCAAAGGTCCGCATATCTCCGACCGTATCTCTTTCGAACGGGAGACACCTAACTAGGTTACGCGACCAAAGACCACATACGGATAGAGGGGTTATACCTAGG